AACAAAGAGGGAAGAGATATGGGAACATATGTATATGTATAACTGACTCACTCTGTTATAAAGCAGAAACTAACACACCATTGTAAAGCAATTATACCCCAATAAAGATGTTAAAAAAATAAAAATAAAAAAAAAATAATAAAAAAAAAAGAATCCGCCTGCCAGTACAGGGGACACGGGTTCGAGCCCTGGTCCGGAAAGATCCCACATGCTGCGGAGCAACTAAGCCCACGCACCACAACTACTGAGCCTGTGCTCTAGAGCCCATGAGCCACAGCTACTGAGCCTGAGTGCCACAACTACTGAAGCCTGCGCGCCTAGAGCCTGTGCTCTGCAACAAGAGAAGCCACCCAATGAGAAGCCCGCAAACTGCAACGAAGAGTAGCCCCTGCTCGCCGCAACTAGAGAAAAGCCCGTGTGCAGCAACAAAGACCCAAGGTGGCCAAAAATAAAAATAAATTAATTTTTTAAAAAAATTGGGAAAGGAGAAGCAAGTTGTGTGTTGGTAAAATCAGAGCTCTGAAGCTCACTCTCTTCCCTTTTTCTTCTTTTTAGTTATTTCAGCTTTGTAATATGTACCTAAATGTACACTTGAAAACAATAAGGGATTAATTCTAAAACTATTTAAACAATAAGAGATGTCAATGAGGCAGCCAGCTTTTCTATATCCACAACCAGCTAGAAAATAAATACGATGCAAGAAAAGATTTCACTTATAATAGCGATAAACACAATACTTAAGGACTACTCAATATTATAAAGAGAGCAATTCTCACTAAATCTGTAAATAACACTACCTCAATGAAAAGTAATGATAGGATTGTTTTGGTAACTGGAGTAGCTGACTTTAAAGTTTATATGGGAAAATAAATATGTACAAATACCTAAAAAATTCTAAGAAGAGTAATAAGCAAAGACTACTTCTGGAATTTCTTTTAAATTTTTTCAACTTCACCGATGTACAACCAACACAATAAACTGTATATTTAAAGTATACAATTTGAGGCATTTTGACATTATGTATACACCTGTTAAACCATCACGACATTTAAGACTATTTCCATCACTTCCCAAAATTTCCTTGTGGCCCCTTACAATGCATCAGTCCCTCCCTAGGTAACAACCTGTATTCTTTCTTTCTTTCTTTCTTGTTTTTTTTGGCCGTGCTGCACAGCATGAGCGATCTTAGTTCCCTGACCAGGGACTGAACCCATGCTCCCTGCAGTGGAAGAGCAGAGTCTTAACCACTGGACCACCAGGGAAGTCCCCTGTTTTCTGTCACTGTTGATTAGTTAGCTTTTTTTTCCCTGGAATTTTATATAAATGGAATCATATAGTATTTAATAAATTTAGTCTGGTTTCTTTCACTCAGGATAGTTATTTTGAGATTCATCCATGTTGGAGCATGTATCAGTAATTTTAACTTTTTATTTACAAGTAGTATTCCATTGTATGGATATATAATTTGTCTATCCTCCGCTTGCTGAAGGACATTTGGGTCATTTCCAGTTTTTGGCTGTTACATATAAAGCCACTATGAACACCTGTGTACAAGTCTTTGTGATGACACACATTTTCCTTTCTCTTGGGTAAATTCTAGGAGTGGAATAGGTGGGTCACATGGTAACTGCATGTTTATTTTTTTTAAAATCCTTTTCAATTTCTACCAGAAAAGCCTACTAGAGTTTTAACTGGGTTTGCACTGACTCTATAGATCACTTTAGGGAGAAAATATCCAGTTGCCCAATCAATAAAAAGAGTATGCCATACCACTCTATTGGAATTTATAAAGTAAGGCCACATTAATTAACACAAGCTGGTACTGGTGTAGGAATACAGAATTAGAAATCAATGAAATAGAATAGAGTCGAAAGACCCAAATATATATGGGAAATAAGTTACAATAAAAGTTGTATTTAAATCCAATGGGGAGAAGATGTAATATCAATATATTAGGACAATTAGCTAGCCATCTGGAAAAAAATTAGTTCCTCATTCATTCCTTATACTAAATAAAATCCCAGAGGGTAAAAGATTTCAATATAACAAAATGAAACTACAAATAAGAAAATATGGGAGAATTTTTTAAAAATAAGCTTAATGCTTAGAATGCAAAAACAAACCCAAAAAACCATAAAGGAAAAGATAAATTTAACATATAAAATAGCAATAAATAAATAAATAAAGACGATAAGTGACAAGGGACAAACTAGAAAACAGATCTGTATACATAGTATGCTAGAATAGAGCTAACTTCCTTAATATATATAAGGCCTAACAAATTAAGAAGAGACAGATGAACAATATTAACAGTAAAAAGGTGCAACAGTACATGAGGAGGCAAATTAATATAAAAAGGAAACTCTCGTACATCACTGGTGGGCATCACCAATTGGAATGACTTCTTTTTTTGGATAGACTTTTTAAAAAAATAAAATTTTGCTCCCTTTTATGAGACAGTTGGCATTAATAGACCTGAATCATTATTCATCCATAAGATCTTGAATTTTCCATTTAAAACTATATATATGTCTATCCACAATTGTTGCTAAATGGTTATAGGACATATCTGTTTGTTTCTGGCTGCCCAGGAAAACAGGGCAACATAAGCTTGTGTCAGGTCTTTTTTCAATTCATCTTGGTGGACGGCTTTATTAAACTTCCTTGAAGCCAGGAAAGTAACATGACTTGTCAACTATGAAATTCCACTTCTAAGAATTTATCAGACAGATATACCCACATATACACACAAAGTAAAACATTTACTGCAACACTGTAACAGTAAAAGTGAGGAAACAAACTAAATGTCCATCACATAGGAACTTGTTAAATCACTTATGGAATGTACAATGGGATACTATGCTATGTTAAAATGAACAAGGCCAGGCACTTCCTACTCATTCCAAACAATCTCCAAGATATATTGTTTTTTATAAAAGGAGTAGGGGTAGGGAAGGTTCAGAACAGAACAGCATACAGAGTACACTATCATTCACGTTTTTTAAGTGAGGTATAAATACAGGTGAATAGAATATCTCTAGGAAAATACCTAAGAAATTGATTAACAGTGGTTGCCTCTCGAGAAAAAGGGGACTAGAGACAAAACAGTGGAAAGAAAATTTACTTTTCACCATTGTATAACTTTTTAAAACCATGTGTAAGTATTTAGTTTATTAAAAAGGTAAAATGGCTAGGAAACTTAATAGATGTAACAGACAAAGAAAAAAGGTAAATACTCCTATTTTTGAGTACAGAAAAAAACCTTGTGAAAAACAGGCGAGGTGTAAAAACAAACAAGTCACAAAACTTGAAATGTAAATATCCAACAAAGCCTATGAAAAGATGTTCAACCTCACCATTTATCAAGAAAATACAGGGGCTTCCCTGGTGGCGCAGTGGTTAAGAATCCGCCTGCCAATGCAGGGGACACGGGTTTGGGCCCTGGTCTGGGAAGATCCCATATGCTGTGGAGCAACTAAGCCCATGCACCACAACTACTGAGCCTGCGAGCCACAACTACTGAAGCTGGCGAGCCTAGAGCCCGTGCTCTGCAACAAGAGAAGCTACCCAATGAGTAGCTTACGCACTGCAACGAAGAGTAGCCCCTGCTCGCTGCAACTAGAGAAAGCCTGCGCTCAGCAACAAAGATTCAATGCAGCCAAAAATAAATAAATTAAATAAATTAAAAAAAATACAAATTAAAAAATAGTTTCACTCATGAGATTGGCTAAAATGTTAAGACCAACAGTATCCAGCATTGACATGGCTGTGGGAAGTCATTTTGCATCTGCTGAAAGAAAGAAGTGTGCATGCCCTTTCAGCTAGTGAATTCACATTTAGGATGCTAATTACAGAAATACAGCACCTGTACAAAAAGATATATGTACAGGTATCTTACTGTAGCAATATTTGTAATCACAAATACCTGGAAACAACCTGAATGCCATCAACTGACAAATAGCTGTATACTGTCTGAGGTGTAATCATAAGCTTGCATAATTTCTGTAACTGAAAAAAAAGAAAAGAAAAAAAACATACATCAAGCACTAACCTGAAGTCATCTTCTTCCTCTTTTTCTTGTTCTGCTCCCTCCTCCTTTCAGTTAGGCTCTCTTCATTTTTCTCTTCATCTTGTAGTTCCTGATGAGTTCTTGATGCTTCACACTCACCTGGGACAGACTTCTTGTTTCCAAAAAAGTCCAGTCCCTGTAGCACCTCCGAAGAATCAAAGTCATATTTCCTTTTTCCTATCTAAAACCCAGAAAAGTTCAAATGAAATCTATAGACAGACTGGCACTGTTTTCACCCTAGCAGTGTTGGCACTAAGGGTGTGGGTACAATGACTCCCCATCTTTTTTATCTTTCACCAGATATTTGTTTGAGCTGACAAGTGTGTGTCTGGGCAAATGGAATCCAAGATGATACCTTTTCTGACCTTATAAAAGTAATAATAATAATAGCAACTAACACTTATAAGCATAACACATGCTGTCAGGCAGATTTCTAAGCATGTTTAGATATATTAAATTCCTTCTTCCTTCAACAACCCTAACGAGGTAAATAGCAATATTACAGATGAGGAAATCGAGGCATTAAGAGGTTAAGTAACTTGACCAAGGTCTCAAAACTAGTAATTGGCAGACCCAGGATTCTACCTGAATAATGTGGTTCCAGAGTTCAAACTCTTAACAACTACGCTACGCCGTCAGGCAGAGAAAGAAGAAACACACGTATTGCACACACACACAAATGTCCCTAGTCCCAATACCAAGAAATCTCGATATTCAAGATTTTCCACAATTGGGCCCTAACTACTCCCGATTTATCACTCACTACTTCCCTATGTAAGATCTCCCATTTCTAAATCGCTCTTCTCATTGGTTACTTAACACGCCATGGAGTTGCGGGAATAAAAAAAAACCATGCCCACTAAAGGCATACGCATGCCAAGACAAACCTGGAGAGACTACAGTGAAATCATCTGTTCTCTCCGTTTGGGGTTTTTCAAATTCTTTTCCATCAGTTTCGGAAAAAAGATAACTTCTGAAAGTAGGATTCTAACTGTGCTTTGAATAAACTCAGAAAGGAGGCCGGGAGGAAACGTTTCCTTGCTAGACCCAACAAAGTCTACAGAAGGATGGGAAAAAGAGTTCATTCAGAAGGCTGCAGTAAGCTGAACGCCAAGGGAGGGAAAATGCCGCACAGCCAGGCCACGGGGTCTCCGAGTGCCGGCTCCCCCAGCAGCCAGTTCCTTCTCCGGCACCTGCCCCTTCTCAGTTACTCAGGCTTCTGACGCCTTGCACACAGTACCTTGAATCGGGCAGCGTCCGCCGAGAAGCGTCTCACGTCGAATTTGGCCCCCGCGCCGAGCCGGCGAAACAGATCGTGAGCATCCATCTTTTCCCAGAAAGCTCCGCGGCCCCACGGCGCCTGCGCAGAGGACTTCCCTCCCGGAAGGTCTGGGGCTAGACCTTGGGCGGAAGGGGCTCCGGGGGGCGGAGCCCGGCGGCTGTGAGAGTTTGGGAGTTTTTATCATCTTACAGTGCGTCGTTTTTTATTTGTTCTTTAAAAAAGTATTTATCAAGATCCTCTTAAGCCGGGCACTGTTCTACCCTTTTAGGGATAGTTTGGTAAACAACACCCCAGGAATCTCACCTCGGGAGACATATTTTAGTGGGGATGGAAGATGTTGTTAACAAATAAATAAGCAGAATAATTCCTGAAAAAGTGCTATGAAACAAAACAGTGTAATTGATAGAGAAAGGGAGAGGAGCCACTTTTAGGTAGGTTAGTTAGGTTCATTCTGATGAAGTGATATTTGATCTATGAGGAGGCAGCCTTTCCCAGATATGGGAAACAACATTCCAGACACAGGAAACATTGTCTGAAGAAGGAAAAAGTTCTGGAACATTGAGAAAATAGAAAGAAGGCCAGGGTGACTGGAGCCAAGTTGCAGTGAGGGAGTGGTACAGATAGGGTTGAAGGGACAAATGAAAATCAGATCTCACAGACTTTTTTTTTTTTTTTGCGGTACGCGGGCCTCTCACTGTTGTGGCCTCTCGCGTTGCGGAGCACAGGCTCAGGACGCGCAGGCCCAGCGGCCATGGCTCACGGGCCCAGCCGCTCCACGGCATGTGGGATCCTCCCGGACCGGGGCATGAACCCGACTCCCCTGCATCGGCAGGCGGACTCTCAACCACTGCGCCACCAGGGAAGCCCTCATAGACTTTTATAACAACGTCATGGTAAGGAATTTGGATTTTAATCTAAGCATGCTAGGAAGCTATTCAAATTTTTTTACTGAGAGTGCAACATGACTTAGTTTATTACATTTTGTATTTATTTTCTTCATTGTATTTGTACTGTACAAAATTATTTAATTATGAGTTGCCTCCCCCTTCTAGGATGAAGTCTAGGAGCACAGAGATCTAATTTGCTTCACTGCTGTATCCCCAGTTTGTGTGTGCTCTCAATAAATATTTGATGAATGAATGAGTGAATGCTTTGTAAGAGATTACTCTGGCTATTTGGAGGATGGACCATAGAAAGGGTAAGAGTGGAAACAGTTCAGTCAAAGTAGAAATGATGATGGTGGCTGGGATTAGGGTGGTATCTGTGCTGATGGAGTGAAATGGATAGATGTGGGGAATATTTTGGAGGTAGGTCTAAATTCACCTGATGAATTTCATGTGGAGGTGAAGGAAAGGGAGGAAATACTCCTAGGTTTTTTGTTTGAAATCCGGGGTAGGTGGCATGCCATTTACTGAGCTAGGAAAAACTGAAAGGAGAACAGCTTTTTTGTGTGTGAGGTTGAGGCATGGGGGGTGGAATCAGTTTCTATGTTTTGGGCATGTTAAGTTGCCTCCTTGACCTTAAGTGGAGATGTCCAGGTGGGTAGTTGATTCCATGAATCTGAACCTCAGGGGAAAAGGTCAGGGCTAGAAAAATAAATTTAGGAGTCATCAACATATAAATGGTACAATGGAATCATACCAAACAAGCATTTAACTTATTAAAATTGAGTTATACATATTCAGCCAGAGAGTGTGAGAAATACAAATACTTTAAATTGTGTGATTCCTTTACACTCAAGTAAAGTAAGTGTGGAGTGAGGATGAGATGAGAGATGTGAGTCTGCTGTACCCTCAGATGGAGTCAGTCCCCAATTCTCTCAAGCTGTGGGAGCAGCTTGCTGTTCCAATTGTGTCTGCTCTTTCAAAATAAGTATTTTTCATGAAATGTGGCTCCTAAATGAAAGCCCCAAGTACTTTTTCATCTATTGCTCAATAAAAACAATTTATCTCAACATGGCAAGGGAAAAAAATCAACTGAGTTTTTTAGGAAATGGAGTGTTGGTCTTCAGTTTGGCACATAAATATGGCCAAAATCATGTGTAAAATCAACATGTATGAAACCACAACTTCTGTAATTTATAGGTGATTTAAGTAGTTTCCAAGAGTAATTTCACTTCATGAGTTTTTTTTTTTTTCTTTATGAGCTGACTTTAGAACCCAATCCCTATGTAAGTGGTGACAAACCCATATCTAAAAGCACGGTCATAAATGTGATCACTTAGAGACACTGTGTGACTAGGGAAGAGAAGGGGACCCAGAACTCACCTTTAGAGTACACCAGCATTTCGAGATTGGGTAGAGGAGGATATAACTATAAAACAAAAGTTTGAGAAGCAATCAGTGAGGTAGGAAGACGAGGAATGTGGTGTCCTGGCAGCCAGAGGAAAGTTTCAAAAAGAAGGTAGTGATCAGATGTTTCAAAGGCTGTTGAGAGGCTGAGCAGGAAGAAAAAAGATCACTGAATTTGGCAACATGGAGGTCACTAGTGACCTAATATCAGTTTCAGTAGCACGGTGGCTGGAGATGATTGAGTGCTAGAGGTGGAGAAAGGGAGACTGTGATGAAGCCAACTCGTTTTTTTTTTTTAAATAAATTTTATTTTTGGTGGTGTCGGGTCTTTGTTGCTGCACACTCTTTGTTGTGGTGCATGTGCTTCTCAATGCAGTGGCTTCTCTTGTTGCAGAGCGTGGGCTCTAGGTGCACTGGCCTCAGTATTTGTGGCTCGTGGGCTCTAGAGTGCAGGCTCAGTAGTTGTGGCGCACAGGCTTAGTTGCTCCACAGCATGTGGGATCTTCCGGGACCAGGGCCCGAACCTGTGTCCTCTGCATTGGCAGGCGGATTCTCAACCACTGCGCCACCAGGGAAGTCCCTGAAGCTAACTCTTTCCAAAGGTTTAACTGAGAAGGAAAGCAGAGAAGTAGATTAGTAACTAGAGGCAGATGTGGGTTCAAAGGTGAGTTTTGCTTTTTTTTTTTTTTTTGATATAAACCTGGAGCAAGTTTTCACAAACTCCATCTTTTGGTTTGTGCCTTTTTCATACTTTATTACATTCCGTTTTTTAAAAAATCACAACAGCAGTATCAAAGACAACCAATGTACAAACATTTTACAAAAGAAATATTGCTAGTATCAGCTGTAATAAGGGCAAGTTGAAGAACAGATGCTGAGTTTCTGGGCCAAAGTCTGCCCTCAAAGCCATCTAAAATGTGTTCAGGCAGCTGAAACAGGCTTCTTTCCCGATGACAAGCATGTGTGGTCGGTAATATTAATACAAACGATGGTAAATGAGGATACTACTGGGCCCAAGTAGCAAACTCCTCATCAGGAAGGCCACCATACAAGTGGAGCTAATCCAATAACCTAAACCCAAGACAGTAAAAGCGCTGTTTCCCATCTAAACGCATTTAAGCCTTCAGCAATGATTGCGTCACGTGTAAACGATGCTGGGTTGTCATACAGACACTTGATTCTTATACATAACCCTATGCCAAACTTCCCTTAACTCCCGAGTCAAGTTTCTGGTTGGACCGAAACGGGAGGAATTTTAGAAATGCTTCCTTCAGGACAGAAGTCAGAAAGAGAGGTGATCCTGAGAACAGGATCTACGAAATTTGGTGGCGGCAGGGGGAGGCAGGAATTTAGGAGGAGGAATGACTCCTTGGGGCCAAGAATCAAGAAGCGTGACTCACTTGGGTCTGGGACCTTGCTGAAATCTGATCCCTACCCCACCCCAGCCCCGCCGGTATCTACAAGCTCGGTTCCTTTCTCATCTCCCCCAGTTCCTTGATCTCCACCTTCTTGTACTTCCCCGACTCCCTCCGGTTGGTGATCACCAGGACGGTCACGCCGGCGACCAGGGCCACCACGACCACGACGATGACGGCGATGAGGCCGCTGGTGAGGCGCTTCGTGGAGAACTGGGGGGACTTCTCATCCAGGTAGTAGATGAGCGTCCGCTCCAGCAGCAGGGGCTCTCCGCGCACGCGCACGTCGAGGCCGCGGTGGCCGGTGAACAGCGACTCGCCCTTGACGTCCCTCTCGAAGTAGTAGGCGGCGTCGGCGAAGTCCGCTGCGTTGGCGATGTCCACGTCGCCGGCGACCTTCTGCGACGTGTTCTGCTGCAGCTCGATCTGGATGGTGGGGTGCTCGTAGTGCACGGCCGTCACTAACTGGGGGCGCAGCGGGTCGCGCTCCGGGAAAAGCCGCCGCAGCTCGGCCTCCAGGTCCGAGGGGTTGAAGGCGCGGGTGGCCGGGCGGTGGCGCAGGTCGATGAGGATGGGGTGGGTGTGCACCAGCTCGTCGCAGCGTAGGCTCAGGTCGCCCTTGTCGGTGCGGCGCATGCCCACCGAGTTCACGCACCAGCACACAGACGTCTGGTTGCACTAGAGTGCCTTGAAGCGGCCCTGCTGGTCGCAGTCCGGGTGGTACAGGCCGTTGTTGTCCAGGAGCGCGTGCTCGCTCGGCCGTACCAGG